TTTTTTTTTTTTTGTTTTTGTTTTTGTTTTTGTTTTTGTTTTTTTGTTTTTGTTTTTTAGATTAATAGACTTTATACAATTTCTGGAAAAAACATTAGACTGCCGGCCATTGCCGTCCGGTGATTCGCAGCCCCACCCCCAATCAATCACTTTGATAAATTAGACATTGATTGGCAACTGTCACTTGAATATAAATTAGACTTCAAACGGGATCTCTGTATCATATGTCCGCAAAGTCTCTTGGGTAGTGCCGTGAAGACCCCTGGGTACTAATTGCGCAATTTTGGCATTTTCTGAACGCAACGCATTTTTAGACTGGGCTGCCACAGGCAACCCAGTAAAAATAGCGTGAAACTTTGATTTGTGACAATTGGTTCACGCGTCTACCTGTAGAACCGATAAGCGCGGGAAAAGTAGATTAGAGCGATTGTTATGGAACTTTTCAATCGGATAACATATAACTGGTTTTCAAACTGGAATTTCGGGTTTTTCGGGGCATAATTGTAAGCACCCTCGTAATACTATATGAACACTATAATGGTATCTATCGGTAATCAAAGAATCGTTGTATTTATGTACTGGATAAGTAGGAGCGGAAGAGAAGACGATGTTCTAAAATATTGAGGACGATTTAGTATCCCAAACGCCTTTGCTGGTGCAATTCTGCAAAGTACCTCTTTAGAAGACGTTCAATTTCGCTCGTATTTAAACGGTGTGATGAATATTCAATAATGAATTTGACTAATAAAACCTCACAAAAAATATGCCGGAATTACTTGTTTGTTTGTTTTTATGTTTACTTTATGTTTATTTGTTTGTCTTTATGAGGTTTGTTATTGTTGTATCTCGTCACAGCAGCGTCATATCACCGACACACGGGATAGTTTCGACAAAAATAAAGTTCATGTATGCAGGTAGCAAGAGAATATTAAGTAAGAGAGCATGTGCCCCATGAAGGTTTTTGAAAATCTATTTTTAGCTCCGCGCGCAAGCCTGAGCTATTTTTAGCATGCGATTCCTGATTGGTCAGAGTTGTAGTGACTTCAATGTAAGAGAAAAATGTTTACTTTCCGAAGAAAAAAATGTCTTCAAAAGGTAGTAAAAAGTTGAAATTAAATTATCATGTATTCTTCATAGACGAATTAAACATTAAACTTAACAATCGATGTAAAAGAACATCCAAAAAGATCAAATCAAGATGGTTTTCAGTATACGAACAAGCTAAAAACTGCGAAGACGCCAGGGAAAAAATGCGATGAAAATAGCAAAGACCCTACAGTGAAGACAGCGAAAAAGCATTTATCGTAGCGTTTTCCATAGTAAATAGAGTTCAAGTTCAAGTGATTATGAAGAGTATCCGGTGACCTAACTTTAGAAACTTCGAATAAACCCCGTTCGAATTACGCTGATTTTTAGCTAAAAAATTACCTTTAAGTTGGTTCCTTCGGCCTCCCAAATCCATGGTCAATGGAGAGTTCCACAGAGAAAGGATTCCGCCATTTCGAAGGAGAAAATGGCCAAATTTTACGAAAATTTCGACCAAAAACAACGAAAATATTCATGGCCTATCTGCCATGTTGTAAACAGACCGGGTATATTTGGTCCCATGCCCTCACAATCAAATTAAACACAGGGTTCTCATTATATTTTAGTACTATAACCCTCTGTAAGTTAACTTCGTTCACTTGAAAATTGATCAAAGTGACTGATGTTTTTACAGAATACGAGCGGAAAATTGTAAACCAAAAGCTCAAAGACGTTGATCCAAAGTTATGCCTTTGAGACCCTTGGGGAGTGAGCAATGGGAGGTACCGCCGCTCAATGTGCGCGGGCTTAAATGTCCCAGATTTCTGGTGACGGGGATGGGCTCTCCTACTTCATATTCTCTTGATGTTAGTTAAAGATATGTAAATGAGCCTAATGGCTGACAACCATGTTCTTTGGTAGTGGAATAAATTGCAGTTGTTTATTGTCACTTTTTGGGCTTACAACACTTACTACGCGTCGTGCTTCTCCTAACTCTTTACCCTTGTTCTGCCAACTCTCGCGTGCTTGAAGTGCACATATCAATCGCACGTGTTTTCTATGTTTTTTTATTATTGCACAAGATTCCACGGCCTTTAAAGACAAAAGACTACTACTTCTGGAGTAATTACTTACTAGCCATTTCAGTAATTCTGTCTCATCTTTTAAATACCTTAGCTTTTGCTCCCATCAATAAATAAATATTCCCTTTCACAGTCCCCTGCGCCATTTTGAAAGGTAGCCGAGACGCGAGGAGAGGATGTAATCATGATTGTTTTGTAGATATAAACACAAAACACAAGACACATATATCAGTGACAAAAAGATCAAAATGTTTTTGATTTTAGTCAAGTGAGACTGGAAGTATATTTCTTTTGAAAGATTTACAAAAACAAGGACGTCAACCGGAAGTGTAAGTAACTTCACTTAAGGGTTTCATGTCTTTGAAGTCCGACTGCCTTACCTGTGGGTGAGTCGACTTTACTGACAATGTTTTGAAAGAAGTATCCAATGAACAGAAACCCAAAGAGAAATTATTTACACTTCCGATTGACGTCGCCATCGTAGATTTTACAAATCCTAAAGTTTCTATGGCTATCGAGAACTAAGGTACGGTACGACACACAGTAACAAACGAAGTTCCGACTCAATACCTAGCCAATCACCGTTGCAGCAGTTTTCACAGTTTAATTAAAATCTTGTCCCACAAACAACTGCACAGTATTTGTTTTAAAGAGCACTACAAGGATTACGGGGTAATTTTCTATTCTTTTCGCAGGACAGTAAAATATCGAAACAATTTATAAGCAATTTTCCGTTATCAGAGTTTTAAATTCTGAAAATATTTTAGATAATGTGTTAAGCTTGTGGGACATAGCAACGGTAACTAAGGGGAGTCGGAACTATGGATAGAAATGGTTTCTCGTTGTCTTTCAGTAATTCAACCAATCACAGCGCATAGTTAAAGCTACAGTAATATAGGGTACGCCTACAATACGATTACGAATTTGACGTATCGTGCGCGTATCCCACTCATACGAAAAAATCTCTTTAAAATAGTCCTTTTATAGTCACATAATTATTGACGTTTTTTGACATTCATTTACTACCAATGACCGCTAAATAAACTCGTCAACCTATTCATGAATTTTTTAAGAAATAATTTGTGAACTTGAAACCTTAATTCTTTCGATAAATGCAATCTTGATCACCTTAAATAAACTAAATTCTATTTTAGTTAGAAAATAATACTAAAATAAAAGAAACAAAAAGTGCATCAAAAGACATTTCGGAAACTTTGTTTCTTTTTCAGTTTGGAAATTGTTTATATGAAAATAAGGAAATAAGTGAATTTTTGAATGGTGGGTGTCAAAATGCATCGCTTGGACTGTCTTCAATTATGAGTTAAGAAAACAGTCACGTGTCACAGCAATGACTGAATCGACCAATTAAATCAACATCTATTCGACCATTGTAAAGTTTTCAAAAATAAATCTCGTCGATTACGTCATATAGTTCTTATACTATATCTCAACTTAGATTTTAAAATACTGTGTCCCACTTTTTTTTAAGAAGTTGGATAGGGTTTTGTTTATTATTCAACATGTTATGGCTAGGGTATTTTTGTTTTGCCTTCATGCAATTTTAATGTCGTATTTTTTAAACGTAAATGGTTGGTTTGTACGGTTGGGTGAGCGTTTTGATGGCAAGGTTCAAGTGGTTGTTGATGGTACCTGTAACAGGACACAAAAGTCACCAGGTTAAGACAATACGATAACATGTAAACTCAAGTTGACGTTGAATAACTGCTTGTTATGTATTCCAATGTCATAGAACTGGAATGCACTTAATGAGAGATCCATCACCGAAGACTAAACAACACTAGTTTCAGTTGTATGTCAAGACAGTAACTTCGTGTCTTTGTTGAGTTAGTCAGGATATAGACAAAATGAGAACTACCGCTTTGTGGGTAGTTTTCACACTATTCGTTGTGCTTTACCAAGTTTCTGCACACCCACTTGCCTCGCATAAACTAGCCGAGGAAAAAGATAAAGAAAACATCGAGAAACAAGAAGACAAAGATGTGAAGCAGGAGGAGAAGGAAGAGAGTGAAGACTCTGAAGAGAAAAAACAAGACGAAGTTAGTGAAGACGAAGATAATGAATCTTCTGCTGAAGAAGAAAAGGGAGAAGACGAAGAAGAAGAAAAAGAAGAAGTAGATTCAGATAATTCCGATAATGAAGCTAGTGGTAGTGCATCTGACGAGAAGAAAGAAAGAAACCGAAGATCGGATGAGGATTCTGGAGAAGAACCCGAAGAAGGATCCGCAGCACCAGAAAAGCGAAGCAAAGCTGTTGCAGGTAAAAATTTAAATATATTTTAACATAATCTCTCATACACCTTTCTTTTTCGTGCAAAGTAAAAGTGCATGCCAAAAAAGTAACTTTGCCATTGCAGGAATTTTACATATGAAGTTTTTAGGTGTCCATTGATATTTTTAATGATAAGATAACTAAACTTTCATGATCATTCATCACATTATGTTTAACAGGACAAAATACGGAAAATATTGAAAATATTTGGGTTTTTAGGTCATTATTTACGAACTCATAGCCAATTTTTTTTGAGTTTGTTTATGTGTTATCTATTAATAATATTAGTTTGTTGAGACTAAAATAGACTTAAACAACCTTTTCAAATAGTATTATTATTCTTTATTCTTTTTGGTGTTTGATATTTTGTTATAACAAAGATTTTTTACATTGTTATTCAATGCTTATTTTCAATATCAATGGGTGTTTCAACAAACTCAAATTTCCTCCACAAAACAAAGGAAAAAATTAAAAATGGTATTTCTTTTTTTCTTTTTTTTTTAATCTTTATTTTTATTTTTATTTAGATGTTTCCTCTTATGGAATAAGGAGAGTATCTATGGAAAAAACTGTTTTCTTATTTTTGGATTTAAATTTGTAGCAAAAATTTTTGCAGCTCACATAAATAATAAAAGAGCGAGAGAACAAAGAATTTTAACTAAACTTTGAGACTGTATTTGGATGAAAATCAAAAAAAATCAATGTAACAAATTGACTTTTCTGAAGCTGAATTTGCTAAGAGTAAAACATAAGACAATATTTCCATATCAGATTGGAAAATTTTTTGGATTTATATATGTATTTAGATATATATTTCTATAATATTTTTAGACCATAAAAAACCTGTTGTTGCTCAGTCATGGGTGAAGGAGGTGTTAATAATTGAGTTGGTGAAAATCACCTTTCTTAATCGCGAGGGCAAAAGACAGGTAATCACGTGATTGACAACTTCTTCTCAAAACGAAATCCCTAAAGAAACCACAAAAAAGCTAGCCAAGACAGATAATAAATATTGGGGAAATATTTTGCATGAAAAGGATTTAAGAACATTATTTTTAAAATATTTTTTTAAAGGAATTTTTTGACACATTAAATTGATAGTTTTTCGTTATTCTCATTAAAATAAGCAAGAGTGTTTTCCATTTTTATTATTTTATTTTATAACTTTCATCTAATGTTTTTGATTTAATATATACTAATTGCACGCCAGTATGTCAAATTTCTTGATTCATAGTTACTAAACTGTTAGTATTTTAGGCTTTTAAGTTAACAAGACCGTTAACGTTAAAGCACCGTGGAATATCAAATGTTAACTATAGGCCCTTTGCAGGACATAATAACAAGACTGTCACTGGTCGGAAAAAAATATTCGGACTTCCCTCATTTAAAGATTATTTGCTGGAATACTAATGTCATATTCAAAACCTTTTTCAAAATTCTTTTCTTCCCTTATTATATACTTTCTATTTTAAGATACGAAGCATTTTAAAGTTTGTTTGCCATCCAGCAGAGCCTTCCCCAAGGCACGTGACTGTTTGTTGTAAAGGGCCCATTGTCATCTGTACATGTCATATATCTGTCTACCATTCCGGAACAAAATACCTCTCCAAAATCAGTAAAAGTGTGAGACATAAAATCCATATTAAAGTAAAAGACAATTTTCTTTACCTTAAAAAGAAGTATCCCACGCATTGTCCTGACAGTCGATTGGCTATCTATTTAGGAACGTATCTGCGAAAAGAGGTGTTGGAGATTAAGCAACTCCCCCTCCCCATCCCCTCTACTAGCCTCAACTAACTAATACATCCATTGTTTTTTCATACCCAATGGGTAAGGAAGGGCTAGAGACACACTAGAAGCCCATTTGTCCTTTCATTACGCTCCGATGAAAAAAAAAAAAAAAATGCGCAGATAAGACCTTTGACATTCTACGGTGTTTGATATAAATATACTAATAATATCTTGTCATAAAACTAATTGCATGTTTGCATGGAATTCACCTAACATGCATGCAGTCTCTAAACGATGTGGAGGATTCGGTGGATTCGGTGGATTCGGTGGACTCGACGGATACGGGGTAGGCGGATTCGGCGGATATGGAGGATGTGGTGGCGACTGTGGAGGCTGTGAATGGGGAAAGCCTGGTGAGGGTTGCTGCTGTTCCAACTGCTGCGGTGGCTTCGGGTGTCCTCACTCCTGTGGAGGCTGCGGATGTGGTTGCTGCCCCAATCTTAACTTCCCTGTCACATTTGGCGCATGCGTGAACAATCCCTGCTGTGAGTGCTGTAAGAAGAAGCCACCAAAAGGCAAATGCCAATGGCCCTGCTACTGGCCTTGCTGCTGCAAGTGTACTCCACCAAAGTTTGAGTTCAAACCTCTGAAAGCCAAGCCTTTATGTCATTGCCCACACTGCTCCACCAGCCCATGTGGAGGATGCATGGGATGTGGACACAAGAAAGATGGTAAGTGATTCTTAATTACAATTTTTTTACAGGAACATTCAGGAACAAGTCTATAAAATGACCACTAAAAGATGGCCCACTTTAAGTACCAACTTGTGACAACTATGTTAGATTTAGGAAATTAAGTCAACAATTCATCATAGATGTAACGCAGTTATATCTCTTTTAACGCCAGGTGTTTCAAAGAGAAGCGATGTTGCAAAGAAATGTGGATTCGGCTTTGGAGGATGGGGTGGATACGGAGGCCTTGGCTTGGGCGGACACGGTCTTGGCTGGGGAGGATATGGCCTTGGATGGGGCGGATATGGTCCTGGATTTGGCTTCGGTTATGGATTCCCACACTTTGGCTTTGGATATGGCTACTAGATACACCTCAAGTAAGTTGACAACTGCAGCTCTTTTTTTCATTGTATTTTTAGGCCATGTTGGTCACAAGCTGAGTTGACTGCCTTTCCCGAAAGGGATTATGGGTCAACTATTTTTGGTTAGCATTTCCCTCGCAGAGGCTAAGTGCAATGTAGAATTCTCGTGTTGAATGAACTAGTTTTATACAATGAATTCCACTAGTAGCATTTATGAAGATAAATGAAAAGAATGAAAAACTCATGTTTCATTCATGGGAAATGCTAATCAAAATATGATGTTGAATCCTCATTCTGAATGGTTGACCTTGATATTATTCTGATGGTCAACTCAGCTGGATTTACGATTCACTTTTACTAAAGATTTACTCGTTGCACGAGGTTTTATTAAGTCATTTGCCTTATAGCGACATTTTTTCAAAAACATTTTGCAGACTCCTTTGAACACTTCAGTTCTTTTGTTTAAATCATTAGAACTAATATGACAACTTGCATTATAGCATCTTATACTACAATTACCATAATCCCTTGCGCAATTTCTTTTTTTCCGTTCATTAGCACGCTTAGAACACTTGCATTAATCTATCATTTACTACGACTTATAGAATCCCTTACACACCTTCTTTTGTTCAGTTAATTAGCACCAATCGTCTAACTGAACAAAATCGTATTAATGCTTGTTAATTAATGTTAGCAATGTCTTCTTATTCTTCAGATACCCACTAAAACCAGCATCGACTTGGACACCATCGTCATAACAAAACAACCGCCATAGCCTTGAATAATGTTATCATATCCACAAAACTCGAATCAAGAGACTTAACATAACCAATTAACCTAATATTACATTAATTTTGATTGTCGTTGTTTTGTTTTTGTGCTTTATTTATTTAAAACCAGAGAAGGTTATTTTTGCTATACCATTTTGGGTACGAAATTCAAGGTAGATCTGAACCGTGAATACATATATATTTATTTATTTAACGTATGTTAGAAATAGACATTTCAGAGACATTGAGAGTCGTTACAACTTTCTGTAAATGTTAGAGGTTGATAGAAATTGACGAATGGAATAAAATTTTTGAATCAATTTTTATCTTGCATGAATTATAGTTTTAATTTAGTATAAAGGCATGCTGCACTAATATGATTATGACATGTATCTATTTAATCACATTACTAGGACAAGAAACTATGATGTTGTTTTCAGGTTGCCGTTTCCCGATCTACCTACTCACGTCTTACAAAATGACTTCACATTTGTCAATGATGACATTAGTCTATGAGTTAGATATTGAACTAATAACCAGCATGAATTGCATGTCACCTAATTGCATGAAACTAATCTTATTTGCATGCAGTTAAGAAGCGATGCGGTGGATTCGGTGGCTGTGGCGGCTTCGGTGGAATCGGGGAATTCGGCGATGGATTCGGTCTCGGAGGCGGCGGTTGCGGAGGCGGCTGCGGCGGTTGCGGCGGTGGATGTGGTGGTGGCGACTGTGGCTGCTGTGAATGGGGAAAGCCCGGTGCTGGTTGCGGCTGTTCCAACTGCTGCGGTGGCTTCGGGTGTCCTCATTCCTGCGGAGGCTGTGGATGTGGCTGCTGCCCCAACCTCAACTTCCCATGCACGTTCGGCGCATGCGTGAACAATCCCTGCTGTGAGTGTTGCTCCAAGAAGCCACCAAAAGGCAAATGCCAATGGCCCTGCTACTGGCCTTGCTGCTGCAAGTGTACTCCACCAAAGTTTGAGTTTAAACCTCTGAAAGCCAAGCCTTTGTGTCACTGCCCACACTGCTCTACCAGCCCATGTGGAGGATGCATGGGATGTGGACACAAGAAAGATGGTAAGTATTTGACTTTATTTTTCTGACCTATTTTACTGGGGATTAATAACAGCACCAGAGAAGATACATTATCAATGAATACAAGCTGAAAGGCAGAGCTAACATATTTTCCCTTGATGAGTTTAATTCTCCAGTGAAAAATAAGATAAAATAAAAAAGAGTTTGTTTCTATCATCCTGTCTTACAAAGCCAAAATAGGGTTTCTATTCATGGACTTGGCACCACACGTGAATAGAGTCTTTTATGTCTTTCCTTTGATTCAGGTATTTTTTCTCCGGTTTCTCCAGTTTTCTTTCGTCCGGCAAACCTAACACACGAAATTGCAATTTCATCTGTGAGTTAGCCATGCCCTACCTCTGATCCGGCAGAGTTTGTTTCAGGGATCGATCTGTGAGTTAGCCGCGCCCTGACTTAGATAAGCCCAGAGTTCGTTTCAGGGTTCTATTTTTGAGTTATATTAGCGGTGCCATGACTCTGATCAGCCCAGACGTTGTTTCAGGGTTCAAAACATTTGAAGATTTGAAAACCTTATTTTGTTGTTAGAGGTAGAGAATGTTTTTCACTAAAAGTTATATTCTCTGTTTTTTAAGGAAAACCCAAGCCAGGCAAGAGAGACACAATACAGAAGCGTTGTGGTTGTGGTGGATTTGGAGGCTATGGAGGCTATGGAGGCTATGGTGGCTTTGGAGGCTATGGAGGTTATGGTGGATATGGTGGATATGGTTTTGGAGGAACTTTCTTCCCTGGTCTTGCACATGGATGGAGTTCTCTTCCTGGATATGGTTATGGATATGGACTCCCATACTTCTAAATAAAATGTTAAGTAAGTATATATAAGTAAGTATAGGGCAAAATCCCGAAGGATATTTCGGAAATTAATTACGATACCGAGTCCGGGAATCGAATCCGGGTCGCCTAGGTGAGATATTTGATTCCCTGAATACCAATAATTTCCAAGTGGAAAAGCCAGTGAAAACTCTTTTTTGTTTCAAATTTTCTAATAGGAAAATTGTTTCTTTGGTTGCAGTTGCTAACGAATGGAATAGAGCTTCAAGGAAGAGCTGGTCGAGTGTCTTACCGATCCCCAACAATTTTATTGTCTTTCCGTTCTTTGGAAACACCTTGCAATATAGTGTCTTTGATTTGATGGAGGCCATCTTGGAAATAGTAACCAGGCCTGTGCATGACAACGAGGTCATCGGTGACCTTAACCCACTAATGATAAAAATATATTTATTATTGAAGATGTAGCAACCAGTGGCTTTGCTTTAGGTAAAGAAAGCCTGTGTGGTAGTCCTTCTAAGTAGCTGCCATTCTCAGCTGTTAACTTTAGCTATTTTTACCTTTTACTAACCCACGATTGACTTATGAATTATTAACAGAACATATACAAATAATGATGATAATATATAGTAACAACGAAGTTTAATGTAGAGATTTGTTAGTAATGAAATAAAGATATTAATCCTTGTTGCATGTGGGGATTACTAATGCATGGGAATAATAAAGATTATTGCATGGAAGGAATGTCTATAAGGACGGGCAATAGACCTCTTCGGCTCTGACGTAATGTTTTCCCATTTCGGACCACATGTCATTCCCTAGAGTATCATTTCTTTGTTTAAGGTTTGCGCTCGGTTGCACATGAGAAGACACATGAATATGGATACAGTTCAAACAAAGAATCTTATTGTCAAGGGAATGACACGTGGTCTGAAATGGGAAAACATTACCCCAAGAGGTCTATTGCAGCACGCTTACAGTTATATTACTTGAAATATACATTTGATAGTGTTGGCAGCAGTTATAGTGGTATGTTTCAATCGAGAGTGTTTATCATAGAGTCGTTAGAATTTCAGTTGTTGCTGGACGGTTCCCGTAGGGGTCTAAAGATCGGATCCAATTGGAAACCGAATTCTTTAAATCGAATTGAGAATTTACATGTTCAGAATAATGCAACTACACATATTGGTTATATTATATGTTTTCGATCTTAAGATGATTGTATTCTTGTTGAAAAACCTGCCAAAAACCGAAGGATTCGCCATCTTTATCAACAACAAACTTCTTCACCATTTACTAAGAACAAGAGGAATGCATCACCGTTTTATGTTCTTCGTTGTCGCATCCGTACTATCCTTTTTATACATGACGATACATCTCAGCTTTTCTTTTAGTTGTCGTTTTTTTTTTCCGCCAAGCATTACGGGGTGTTTTATGTGTAAAAGAAGCTACCCTGTCTCTTACGAAGCGAAGGGACGGTTGCTAACAAGCTTCAAAAACCTTCAAAAAACATCATCAATATCATTTGTCCAAACTCTCTTTTATCGATATTTCGAACATCATTTAAACATGTCCAAGATGACTTTATCAACGCAGAAGAGGTTTTCAGAGGAATTTTTTAAGCAACGCCTCTTGGAGGGGAGGTGAGTACGTTGAGGTTTATCTGCATGCGTTGGTTTTCGCTTTGCTAAGAGCAGGGTAGTCTTCTTGTGCTAGATATGGAATGCATCTACTATCATTTAGCGTCGTTTGTCTGTAATATTCGGTTGCATAAATTAAATAAGCCTAGAAATGAATGCCTTTAGGGTGCATGTTTTTTTTTTTACAGATTTAAGTCCCGTGTAGTTATTAAGGCTTTCTTCTCTTTCTGTTCACTCACACACCTCCATTCCAACCTACCTAATTGCATACCTACCTACCTACCTACCTACCTACCTACCTACCTACCTACCTACCTACCTACCTATCTACCTACCTACCAAACCTACCTACCTACCTACCTACCTACCTACCTACCTACCTACCTACCTACCTACCTTCCTACCTTCCTACCTTCCTACCTCCAACTTTCTACCTTTTTTTCCTTCCTTCCTTCCTTCTTTTTTCTCTTATCTTCCTTTGCTCGTTGCTTGCATTCTATCCTCTTTCCTTCCTACACTCCTAATAAAGCCATTTTTAAAGGTTCTATGAACTTTTAAATTCTTATTCCTAGTACATTTAATATGGCATGTTGTGCAGCTCCTGTATAGTAACTTAATCTTTCCATCTAGATCTTTACTGACATGTACTCAAAATTACTTACTCTATAAAAATCTCTTTCAGCCAAACGCTGTTTAAAAAAGCGTTGCTTAAAGAAACGATGTCTGAAGAAGCGCTGCTCCAAGAACATTCCTAAACGTAGCATGGGTTGCTGTGGTAATTGCTGTGGAGGATTTGGTTGCCCATGCACCAGTTGCTGCTGCAATGGCTGTGGATGTGGCGGCATGACTTTCCCAGTTACCTTCGGCGCATGCGTCAAAAATCCTTGTTGCGAGTGCTGCAAAGGGGAGCCTCCAAAGGGCAAGTGTAAATTCCCTTGTATGTGGCCCTGCTGTTGCGAGTGTACGCCCCCTAAGTTCAAGTTCAAACCTTTGAAGTCCAAGCCTTGTTGCAAGTGTCCTTGTTGTGGATGTGGCAAACGAGGAGGTAAGGAAATGAAATACTAACCTATCAAGACTTCGTTTTCTATAAAATGATTCAAACATTTAGTCCAGCGTTTTTGCTCGGATGTGGAGTCTGTAAAGCTCTAGCCTCTCACCTCTGGGGTCTCAGGTTTGATTCATGGATTCGACATCACATGTGAATAAAGTATCACGTTAGGTTTTATCATTGATTCGGGGCTTTTTCTCCGTGTATGCATCCTTAGTTGTTTTGCAGATTTGTCTTGATTCTCATTGGCTAATAGCTGTTCTCAGTTAAGCTGGATAAGTTCAAATGTTTTTCTGTTCGATCTTCAGCCAAGAAAAGTGGTTCGTTGAAGAAGCGTTGCAAATGTCGATTCTTCTGTGGCGCAACACCGGTCATGATTATCCCACTGATGTCCCCCATGCCGGGCACCAAAGCAATGATGTCCCACATGCCACATCATAAACCACTGGCCTTTACCGCGCATGCGCCGAAAGAATAAAGGTAAAACAATCAAATTAAAGAGAATTTTATTCAGACTTTTGAGATAAGATTTTAGGTTCAATAGTCTGTTTAATGCTTTTAGGCATGAATGTGTCAGCCACATTGAATAGTAACCAAGCCTCCAAATGAAAGTTTATGAAAGTGAGGTTGAGTTAGACTCAAGAGAATGACACGTGGTTCGAAATGCAAACAGTCCCATTCTAGAGCGATTTTCATATGAGTGGGAAACAATACTTTGAATTCTTAACTGTTGACTACTGTACTGTAACGTGTCTTGCCGTAACCGTAACTACGCTTTGCAATTGGATGAATTCACGGGAAGACAATGAGAAGCCTTACCTGTCGTAACGTGCACGTGCCGTAAGTCAGTACTGTATGCTTTCCACTCATACGATAACCATTCTTATGGGAAGCCATTTCAGTGTTAGGGAATATTTCACCGAGTACATGCTGTAAGTCAGTACCGTATGCTTCCCACTCATACAATAACCATTCTTATGGGAAGCCATTTCAATGTTACGGAATATCGTACAGAGTACATGCTGTAAGTCAGTACTGTATGCTTCCCACTTAAACAATAACCATTCTTATGGGAAGCCGCCATTTCAGTGTGTAGCGTCTACGTGCCGTACGTCAGTACCGTGGCTTTCCCATTCACACGAAAACCGCTTTATTGAACATTTACTCATGCGATTTTTTTTCTCTTTTCAGCTTAAAACCCAAGGAATAATAATCGTTGAACAGAATATGAATCTGGCCTTATCGTAATCCTAGACATGACTTTTCTAACTGTCACTAATAGGAACGTTATTAATGTTTTGATATTATTCATGGTCAGCGATATATACAATAAAAATGATAATACCCGAGTATTATTGGTTTTATTTATTAAAATACTTTAATTTATATGTAATTAATTATTAGATATTAATTCTTATTAATAATTTATCTGTCTTACGGTATTTGTATGTACTCTGCATGTGAGCGTCAAAAAAAGGTTTGTTAAACCATTTTTAAAGTTATATTTTATCATTTGTAATATTATAAGATATTCTTTTTGTCTTTATTATTAAGTTATAGTTTTTTAAGTTTTATGGTAGGATATGCTTTTATATCCTCAATACTTTGTTATAGTGGGAATAATAACAAACTTTGAGTTAAGTTTATGTCACCTTTTCCATTTTCATTTTTTTGTTTTATATAGTATTTTGCTGGGTTTCTTTTTTTTTTTTTTTT